GTTTTGGAGATTTGGAGAAGCTTTAGGCTTGAATTGGCGAAGTTGATATTTTGGCGATTTCCGGTTGGTAGGCGAGATTTTGATACAGGGGTCGGAATGGAATTCTGAGAGTTGCAGTAGCTTCGTTGTGTCATTTGGGATGTGTAGGCAAAATTTCAGGTTATTCGGACGTTGTTTGGATGGGTTTTTGATCAAAAGCGAAATTCGGAAGTTTTTAGAAACTTAGGCTTCAATCCGAGGTGTTTTGGTTGATTTGATGTTGTTTGAAGTGTTTTGATGATTGGAACAAGTTTGAATAAGGTATTAGGTTATGTTTGTGCTCTTGGTTGAGGTCCCGGGGGCCTCGGGGTGACTTCGGGTGGTTAACGGAGAAGTTGGAATTTTGATGCAGCAGCTGGAATTGCTGCTTCTGGTATTCTCGCACCTGCTGATTGGGGACCGTAGGTGCAGCGCCGCATAAGCGGAGAGTTGCAGCAGAAGCGAAAATTGGTCAGGTGAGCTGAGACCGCAGAAGCGGTAAGGAGACCGCATCTGCAATGTCGCAGATGCGAAAATATGGTCGCAAATGCTGTTTAGGCTGGATAAGTGATTTCCGTAGAAGCGGAGGATTTAACCGCAGATGCGGTACCGCAGAAGCGGGTTCTGGACCACAGATGCGGGTGTCCCTGGGCAGAATGTATATAAGTCTTCTTTGCGATTTTTGAAGGTTTTCACCATTTTTGAACCCGAATTCGGGAGCTTTGGGCGATTTTCAAGAGGGAAATCAAGGAGACTTCGTTAAGGTAAGGATTTTGGACCTAAAACACATTTCTATGGTAGTATTTTATGGATTAAGGCTGTAATTTAAGGAATTAAAGGGCTAAAAATGGGGGATTAGGGCTTGAGTTTAAGAGACCTTTAAATGAGGATTTAAGGGGCCATTTGGACTCCGATTTTAGTATTCTTGATATGTATGAACTCGTGGGGAGATAAGGAATCTATTGGTGTGAAAATTTCTGAATTTCGAGACGTGGGCCCGGGGGTTGGGTTTCGATAATTTCGGGATTTGTGCCCTTTATTGATTGTTTTCGCTTGGGCTTTGTTCCCTTAACATATTTTGACGTCCTCGTTCTGATTTTGGATAGACTCGACGCGCGTGGAGGCCGATTGGAGGTGAGTAATGATTGTAAATGATGTTCTGAGGGTTTGAAACCCCGAAATTCACATCGTAGTGCTATATTGAGGTGAGACACACGCTTGATGATGAGCCTGGGGTCGTGCACTATTGGTGATTATGACTTGGTCCGTCCCAATTGATGATTTTACTGCGTATTTGATTGAAAACTATTTGTTATCATCATTATTTGGGCTGAATGCCATATTTGGGCCTAGTGCCAACTATTTGAACCGTTTGGGGCTTTTCATTTATATTCCCTCACTGTTTTGACTTTATACTTAAACTTAGTCCTGTTATTTACCACTGTTTTCATACTCAGCCATGTTTACCCAGTTTTAAGACTTAAATGATATTTTAAATGACGTTTGGGCGAAGAAATACTGTTTACTATTGCCCGAGGGGCTTGTGAGGATTTTTGACTGAGTAAGGCCGAGGGCCTATGTTGTGAGGAAACACTGATACTGATTTGAGGCCGAGAGCCTGAGATATGTATGCCACGAGGTGTCTTGATTGATATAAGGCCGAGGGCCTAGATTTGACGTCACGAGATGGCTTGTTATTGCGCTTGGGCCGTAAGGGGCCCCTCCAGGAGTCTGCATACCCCTAGTGACCGCGGGTACCCATTGTGATGTGAGATTAAGCCCGAGGGGCTGTTATTGTTGTGAGATGTTACCCGAGGGGCGGATGTGGTGATATTGTGCCCGAGGGGCGAGCTTCTATTTGATTACTTTACCTTAATTACCTGTTAATTACTTGTTTACTTGTTGAAAGAGGATTTTACTTGACTTTTCACGGTTTGCTGTTTTTAAATGATTTTACTGCTTCATTATTGAATGCCTTGTGCCTTGCGTGTTTTCTTACTTTCAGTCGTTATTTACATTTGTTACTGACTGAGTTGGAGTACTCACTTTACTCCCTGCAACCTGTGTGCAGATTCAGGCACAGCTGGTTCCGCCCCCGAGTGCTGAATTTCCTCCAGATTCAGGCGGGCTTTCGGAGATTACGAGGTAGCTGTTGACGTCCGGAGCCCCGTGTCTCTACTCCTTCGTTGTTTCTGCTTCTTTTCAGACATTGTACTAGTTATGTATTTAGCGGAATTTTATTATGACTTATAGATGCTCATGACTAGTGACATCCCGGTTAGGGCTGTGTATCGGTATTCTTCTGCGTATTTATGTTATTATCGGTTATTTCGAATTTATTCTTATCGTGTTTAGACCGTTCTTAAATGCCTATCTGTTAAAAATTGGAAAATGGGAAGTGTCGGCTGGCTTCGTCTTCACGAGAGGCGCCATCACGACCGGGTTCGAGGTTAGGGTCGTGAAAAGTTGGTATCGGAGCATAGGTTACATAGGTCTCACGAGTCATGAGCAGGTTTAGTAGAGTCTCGCGTATCGGTACGGAGACGTCTGTATTTATCCTCGAGAGGCTACAGAACCTTTAGGAAAACTTCATATTCTTGAAATTTTTGTCGTGCGAGTTTGTTGATCCGAGTACTAAACTTCTGTTATTCTATTCTCTCACAGATGGTGAGGACACGCGCTACCGGGCAGGGTGGACGACCACCAGTACCACCAGTCGGGGCCACTCGAGGCCGAGGACGCGGTCGTGGTCGTGGTAGAGGCAGAGCAGCGAGGGCAGCACCAGCAGATCCACCAGCTGCCCCAGTTCAGGATCAGGTTCCAGCTGTGGACCCTCCAGTAGCACCAGCTTAGGCACCAGCTGTGCCTATTGTGATTCCGGGTCTTCAGGAGGCCTTGGCTCAGATATTATTAGTTTGCACTGGCCTAGCTCAAGCGGTTTCAGCCACTACAGCCGCAGCTACTTCTCAGGCCGGGAGAGGCAGTCAGACTCCCGCCGCCCGCACACCTGAGCAGGTCGTGCAGGGACTTCAGACGCCGGGGGCACACCTAGCTCAGCTGATTGCCGCTGCTCAGGACTATGTAGTTCCTGTCATGCCAGAGGATGAGCAGCATAGGTTGGAGAGATTTGGTAGACTTCAGCCTCCGACCTTCAGTAGGGCAGAGGGCGAGGATGCCAGGGCTTTTTGGACAAGTGTCAGAGGATGCTTCGTACAGTCGGTATTCTGGAGACCAGCGGGGTCGCTTTCACTACTTATCAGTTCTCAGGAGCCGCTTTTACCTGGTGGGAGGATTTTGAGAGGCGTAGTCCTGTTGGTGTAGCACCCTTTTCTTGGAAGCAGTTCTCCGTTCTCTTTCTGGAGAAGTATGTACCGCAGTCTCGCAGAGAGGAGCTGCATAGACAGTTTGAGTGGTTGCGTCAGGGGGACATGACTGTGTCACAGTATGAGTTGAGGTTCTCTGAGTTGGCTCGTCATGCCATCTGGTTGGTCCCGATAGATAGAGAGAGGATTCAGATATTTGTCGATGGTCTTACTTATCAGCTCCGTATTCTCATGACTAGGGAGAGGGTGACTAGTGCTACATTCGAGGAGGTTGTGGATATTTCCCGGGATATTGAGTCTGTCCGTCGCCAGGAGGGAGAGGAGAGGGAGGCCAAGAGGCCTCGAGGATCTGGTAGCTACAGTGGTGCTCCTTCGAGGGGCCAGCTTCAACACGACAGAGGCCGACAGTTCCGACATGGTCAGTCTGATTGCTCAGGTTATCGAGGGGCATCGTCGGGTCATGGTTCCCACAGTTCACACTAGGGCCATTCTTCACTTACACTACAAGAAAAGTAGGATACGACGACATTTATTTAATAACATTTAAAATAAATATCGGAAATAAGGAAATTTCATGACATTTATAAGACAAAGTTGCAAAAATAAAGACATTTAATATAAAATGTCACAGTTATTGTGACATTTATTTCAAATGTCATAATATTTGTCAGTAATTAACAACATTTATAACAAATGTTAGAAATTTCTCTACATTTTTTTCAGTAATTAAAATTTTCCCTCCCATTTTTTTCACGACATTCACCTACTCCCTCCCATAGGTGAAAATTTAGGACAATGAATTAAGTAAAAAACCCTTATCTATCGAAGTTTAGGAATTGCGGTCGCCTCTGCCCAACTTTCTCTCTCTCACCATCACCGGCAACCATTTCAGGTAACCCAACTCATCTCTCTCTCTATATTTATATATATACACTCCCCTATCTCTTTTCTAAATTCTGGATTTTCTATTTTAATCGGAGATCTATGTTTCTATGAAGGATTTCCACACTTGTAAATTTTTATCTTTATTTAATAAGATTCAAGAACAAGATTTTCGAGTATCGTCATTCCTACGTCTTGTTTGCTATTTTTTATGTTTATGTTTGGTTTTAAAATTTTTGCCAATTAATATTTACTTCAATTTTGACTTTTGGGTGGAGCATTAGGGTATTCTATTCAAAGCTGTAATACATATTTTTTTGACCTTATGCTTGTGAACTGATTCTATGACGCAGGACAATTTTAGTACTACCTTCGTTTCTGGCCAACTCTATTTTCAGTTTTTAATTTAGATTTTGTATCTGCTAAGTGCACTACAACACTTCGCTATTATGACATGTTGGACGCTGAGAAGAGTATAAATTTTAGCACTGTATTATTAAATTTAAATTGGATATTCGAGTTTGAGTTCTGTTTAGAGGATTGCTTTTCGACCTACTTTGGAATGAGATAGTAGATTCACGTGGATGACCTGTGGGTTCTGGCTATTAAATTCTGTTTCGTTGCGATTTCAGGTAAACCAATATTTCATTGGGATTTCAAGTAGTTCAAATTTATGGTTTTGTTAAGAAGATTATTCTTAGCCTCTTTTGCATAGCACGACACATTTGTCCTTCTAGTCAGGTTGGATTGATGATTCTTTCAGGTTTTAAGTACATCTTATTTTTAAGTTTGCACTTTGATTTGTGTATTATGGGCCATTATTCTTATCTAGGATGAGATGGAAAGAGCTGGCGAATTGTTCATTTGAACATTCAGTTGAGGTGACATTCATTGACTAATACGCAAAATGTGTGCTCTTGCATGTCATATTCTTAATATACTGTTGCTAAAATAGTCCTGCGCTGATTTAATGAATATATTAAGTATAAATGTGAATTTTCTGCCAAGGAAATGGTCCTAGATTACTTTTTGAATTTGATAGTGATTGTTATTTAGCTCTCTTGCCTGACAGAGAAAGAGACATAAAGCTGTGGAAGAAGATAATTTTTTTTTTCCATAAAACAACACCTACGAGGTATTTCTTCTTCATATTCTTTGTACGTCATATATGTGGTTTATTCTTCATGTAGTGCTCTTTTGGTTAAATACTTCTGTGTATCTTTATTTCTTCTCAATAATTTGATCATTTGCCCTGTATCAACTCTTGATTCCGAGCTCAATTTGTATATACAAGGGAAGCCTTTCCTTAGAGTGCAAGAATAGTGTTGTATAACTAGTTATAGGATTCAAGTTCTTTTTTTCTTTAATGCTGTTGTCCCTCTTAAATTTTTTGGAAAGAATTGAGGTTAATATTGTTAAGTAGCAATTTATTCTACTTCTCAGAATTATTAGCATTCTTAATTTACTGAAAGAATATTTATTTCTTTAGGATCAACTTGTAAATTCTGCTTTTTCTGGGAAGTTCAGTCTCTGAAGTGTTGTGCTTGGTGTTTCTATAATATAGCTTGATAACCAAATCTATGTTTTGAATAGTCTAATATTTTTTGTCAGGTTAACATAATCAAGAATTGCAAACAGTGGAGCTAGCATGGAGAAAAAGAAGAGGGTAAATTGTGAAAAAGTATAGAAGACACTCTTCCTTTTCTTTATTACTATATAATTATAATTTTTTTTTTATGTGGACTTCTTGTACAGCATTTTTGGTGGATGTGAGATCAATTACTAGCAAGGGAGTGCTCGACTTTTGGAAAGATGGATCCATAGAGCTTTATTGCATAATTTATTCTGGAAGTTAAAGGGAATTAGCTCGAAATAGCAGTGATCTTAACATAGGTGTACGATGGATTCTGTCTTTTATGATTTAATTAGTTTTAAGATTTGTCTTTTTGATTTAGTTAGTAATGGAGAGATGATTTAATTTGATGCAATCAAAATTGTAAGGAGTACGCTTATTCGATCATCACTTTGTTCTTTTGCTACAATAATAAGAGTTATTTTCTTTAGATATATGTTGTATTTGTTACATTGATATGGTGTTTCATATTTATGAATTACAGACTTGATAAAATATTTATGTCACTATGAAACAACTAATTTTGTATTGTCATTAACCTAAATGTTGAAAATTTTGATATGACATTTCCCAAAACTCATAAATAAATGTCGTGAAACTTTTATTTCCATTCTAATATAAATGTCAGATTTATGATTGTGACATTTTAAAAAGGCTATAAATACATGTCGTAAATTTTTTACATGTCGTACATTTTTTACCAACATTAGGCTAAATGTCATAAATTTCAAGTGACAATTTTATAAATGTCGCAAATCTCTTACCGACATTAACATAAATGTCGGAAAATTCCCGACACCAAAATTTACGACATTTAGTACAAATGTAAATTAAATGTCGGTAAATGAATTAATGACATTTAAGTGACCTAATACGACATTTATATAATGTCGTCGTTTCCTTACTTTCTTGTAGTGTTAGTGCCCTCCCAGCTTAGAGCTCATCCCGTGCTCCCTCTATTCATGGCTCTTCTACACCGAGTGCATCTGCTGGTCACTCCGGTGCGAGGGGTTCCCATTAGTCCCCTTCCCCAGCACCTGGGAGTTGTTACGAGTGTGGCGAGATGGGCCACATGTGGAGGCAGTGCCCCCGCCGTGTTGCTAGTTCATCCCAGCAGAGGGGCCAGTCATCAGCTTCAGCGCCAGTTGCTCCACCACCACCAGCCCAGCCAGCTAGGGTTGGAGGTCAGTCAGCCAGGGGTCGCCCCAGAGGGGGAGGTCGAGCAGGGGGCGGTCAGGCCCGTTTCTATGCTCTTCCAGGCAGACCCGATGCCATCGCTTCAGATGCTGTTATTACAGGTATATCGAGCCCGAGGGGGCCCCTAGCTGGTCGTCCTCGACCCTGATTTTCGACTGGTATTGGTTATGAACATCCGACCAAGTCACATCCAGGTACTCGAATAGGTTCTGCTTCAGCTGTTTCGAAGCCACCGAGCTTCGTTTGTTCAGACCTTGAGTGAAAGCCTGTAACGCCCAGTCGTCGGAGACTGGTTGTAGTTCCATTCGTTCCATCTAAAAGCGAGATACGAACTCTCGCAGCATCTCATTATCCCTCTGCTTCATCTTGAAGACGTCTGATTTCCTTATTGCTACTTTGATGGCACCAGCATGTGCCCTAATGAAAGAATCCGCCAACATGGCAAATGAATCTATCGAGTTTGGGGCCAGGTTGTGATACTACATCATTGCCCCTTTAGAGAGCATTTCCCCAAACTTTTTCAGCAGGACGGACTGAATCTCGTCGTCCCTTAGGTCGTTGCCCTTTACTGCACAGTAGGGTAGTGACGTGCTCGTTGGGGTCCGACGTTTCGTTATACTTTGGAAGGTCGGGCATTCTGAACTTCTTCGAAATGGGCTCCGGAGCCGCCTCCTGTGGGAACGGCTTTTGCACGAACTTCTTTTAATCCAACACCTTTCAGGATCGGGGGTGCTCCCGGAATCTGGTCGACCCTGGAATTATAGGTATCTACCTTTTTGTCATTGGCCTCTATCTTCTTCTCACCCGATTCAATCCTCCTCGTGAGGTCCTCGAGCATCTTTACGGTGGCGGGGTCGGTTGCCGACCTGTTGTTGCTCGATTTCACCGATACCTGCTCGGCTGGGGGAGCTGTCCCTACTGCTACCGTGCTAGGAGTTTTCTGGTGACTTTACAGCTGGGAAATAGCCAGCTGTTGCGCCTGCAACATTTCAAAAAAAACGTGAAGGCTAACCTCCCGTTCTTCCCGAGCTGGGGTCTTTTGGGCTTCTTGTTAGTCGCCTTGTGTGAGCACGTGATTTTTGCCCTATATATGAATTACTCCCAAAAATTCAAACAAAATGATCTTTCTCTATTTTTACAATTTTTGTGAATTTGGTGTCATTTTTTTTGGTAATTGTTGCATTTTATCTGTGCATCTTAATTCGTATGAAAAATACAAAAAAAAAAAAAATACGCATTTGCATTCAGGATTTAATTTCATATTTTAGCATTAAGGGTTAAGTTATTTTTAGAACAAAATATAATGAAAATAACAAATAGTCTATTTTTGCATTTTTAATTGTTAATTGTTGAATTTGTCTTGATTTTACTTTAAATAGGATTTAATCAATTTTTAGGAATTAATTAGCTTAGTGTTGGAAATAATTTAGGATTTTATTTTAATTTTTGCATTTTTTTACAAAATCAGAAAATACAAAAAGAATATAATATAATAAATAAAATACAAAAAAAAGCTGCCTAAGTAATGCCCAGAATTGGGCCAGTTAATTAATTTCGCCCAAGCCCAAACCTAGCCCCAGCCCAGTCCAAAACGTCTACAACCGATCCAGTCTCTTTTCCCCACCAAACGACGCCGTTTTGGCGTCACAAAATTTGGGCCATTCATCCTCCCTAATCCAACGGCCCACGTCTTTTCTCGATGAATGATATAACTGTCCGAATAATTAAACCCTAAAAAAAAACACTCCTCGTCTTCCTCGTACCCTCTCCTCTGTAACTCCACCGGCGCCGGCGCCGTCGCCGGCGAATGGCACCAACTCCGTTGCCTCCAAAAAATACACCCCAGATTCCCCTTCTCCTCCTTTACCTGAATCCACTGTCCTTTGCTTTCAAATCTTACTGGAACTCGTCGAATATCCGTTCAAAAGTTTCCGGCCACGACGCTACCTCGTCCAAATGACATCAAACTAACACCATAGAACCGCCTAAGCCTCCTCTACCCAACCCCTCTAACCGCGTCTCTCGAATCTTGCCGGAACTACTCGAATCTCCATTTGAGCTTTCCCCGGCCAAAACCTTAAATGCCCAAATGCATGCAATTTGACACCGTATGGTCCCTAGGTTTTTCCCCTAAGAGAATTCGTCGTTATTAGAGTTCAATTCCTGCCCAAGCTGGTTGATTTCAAAATTTGAAAGTCAGTCGAGTGTCCAGTGAGTCTTTTATCTTATCTTTCTATGCTCTATGCTTCTTCTTCTGTTTAAAAATTGAATAAGTCTCTTAAATTTCTGATTAGTTATGGTTTTGTTTAATTTCACACTGATTTGAATTTTCTTTAGTTTAGTTTAATTTTAATTGATTGTGTTTTGTTCTGTTAGTTTAAGTGTTAAACGATAGCCTAATTAGTTCAATAAATTAGTTATTAGTTGGATCGAAATTTGTTCAGTCTTGATGTAGTTTTGGATAATAACAGTGGTAATTCAATTAGGGTTTCATTAGGTCGTTAACAATTGATTCAGTATGATAAGTCAGTAGTTGTTAGTAGCTATTCAATAACAAGTAATTAGTTGATTGTGTTAGTTAGTTTAGCAATTGATTTGTTTCTTTTGATGCATGATGTTCTCCAGTTTTGTTTTAAGTAATTGTTAAGAATTGGTTTAGCTGATAGCTGAATAAATCAGACCTTAGGTAACAAGGGGTTTGGGACATTTAAGCAGAGAGGTAATTTCAAGGATAGTCAGGGGCAACTTGGGTATTTAGAATTGGATAATAGTGCTAGAAATCCCTAGATCTTACTAGATAGGGGCATGAGTGGAGTTTTAGGAAATTTGAGGCATTAGCTTGAGTCACAAGTCAATAAATAAGGGGTAAAAATTAAAAATTAAGAGGGGCTAAAAGAGAAACAGAAATCTGATGCTTATTTTTGGTTGTCTATAAAAGGCATCAGAATTGCCTTGATGAAGCAGTTTTTTTTTCAGCCATCTAATTTCCCCAAAACACTCTTTCTCTTTAGTTTTTCAAATCTGAAGTAGGAAATTCAAATTTCAAAACCAAAAACAAACAAAAAAAAACTAAAAATCAAAAAAAAAGTACTGTTCCATTGAAATTAGAAATTGATTTCAGCTTTTGGTTGTGGATTCGCATTCTGTAGATGCTAGCTTTGCTTGTTGAATTTCAGAAGGGTTTAATTGAGCTTTACACCAGGGAAATTTCAGAAGGGTTTTAAGTTCAGTTTTGAGTTATTTTGGGTGATTTCGAGTTAAAATTGGTGTTTTGAATCTAGTTTGGGTGTTTTGCTGGCTGTTTGTGCATCAGTATTCATTTTTGGTTGATTTGCTGCTTTGTTAGCTCTGTTTGGTTTAACATTTCTGGACTGCCTGATCTTATTTGGGCTATTTGTGATCAACCGCTGATTGCTGCTGATCCTGTCTTCTTCTCCATTGTTTCCTACTTCCAGGTACACTTCGTTGAAACACCTCGATGTGACTCTGAGTTGAAGACAAATTGGAAATTGCTCATCAAATTTAAGCTCATGTGTATATTGTCTATTGTGAATATTTATATAAGTAACGATTTGAATTGTTAAACCATTAAAGGCATTCCTACGTAGATCTCCTAGTTAGTAGTTTGTTTTTAACTTGTGTTAGTTCGTATTATTAGAATAGTATATTTTGGATTCATATTCAATCTGAACTGGGCTGTAAAACGGAATATAGGCTATGCTACGTGGAATCCAGATCTATTAAATGTATGTTAACATCAATAAATTAGCTATTGCTTGATTAACTCATTAAGTTCTTCAAATGTTATAGCCATTGATTAGCCACTGTTTTTTTTGCTATTCTAAGATCAGAGTATAATTGGAATACTAAAAATAAGTTTAGCCAATAAGGTCATTTGAATTTCTATTTGGTTGAGTTTTGCTGATAGAATCAAAGCTTAATGGCCCAGCTTTGTCGATTTGGGTCTCACTGCCTTACTGAGTGGCCCAGGTCCTGTTTGAGTGTTGTACGTTTGGGCCTGGGCCAAAGCCTACAAATGGCTGATTTTGGTTATAGGCTGGCTAGCTATTCTTACTCTTTGGGCCTCTCTTGGAGCCTAAGGGCATGTTTAATTTAAATCATCATTTGTTTGCATTAGGCCAATGATATTAACCAAGTAGGACTTTTCTATAT